ACCTGTGATGGTTAATCTTGTTAGCTAGGTGGTCTTTTGAATTACCTATGAGACAGCCAGCCCTTCGGACATACCTAAAAGGCATTTCCAGATAGGTTTATCTGAGGTTGAGGACCCATCCTGAATGGAGCCATCATCATTGTATAGGCTGGGGACCCAACTAAATGAAAAGGGACTGAGTAGAGCACCACTCTGTTTCTTTCTGCTTCCTGACTGCACATGCACTGTGACCAGCCTCCTCACTGTCCTGACACCATGCCTTCCCTGCCATGACAAAGTCCCACTGCGAACTGTGACACCAGATTAGTCTTAGGGCTTCTACTGTTATGGAAAAACACCATGACCAAAAGGAACTTGGGAAAGAATTTTTGCTTACGGTTCTGCATTATAATCCATCACTGGGAAGTCACAGTTAGAGGCTGAAACTGATGCAGAGGTCACAGAGGAACACTGCTTACTCGCTTCCTCCTCCTGTCTTCTTACAATACCCAGGACACCAGTCCAGGGATGGAAGCACTTACACTGAGGTGGGCCTTCCTATGTCAGTCATTGATCAAGAAAATGTACCACAGGTTTGTCCACAGGCCTACTTGATAGGGAGCACTTTATTAAGGGTCCCTCTTCTAAAATGACCCCAGCTTCTGCCAAATTGACATAAAACTAGTCAGCCAGCACAGACTCTTCTTTCCAGAAGTTACCTCTGTCAGGTATTTTTGTCTCCACAAGAAAAGTTATGAATACAGGACCAGACAGAGAGTATTGTCTCAGGTACTCAGTTCTGATTCTGTAGGAAGAAAATAATCATACACACGTGATGCTAAACTTCTGGTGTTGACTTCAGTACCCAGTTCTGCAATCAACACTTATCTGGTAGATGCTGTGCAGGTCTGTGGTTGTGGACCACCTCTATAGCCTGCTAACCATAAGTGCAGGTGATTACCCTACTGTGTAGATGACCTCATCCAATCAGCCTCAAAGGGACTGAGGTTTTCCAGGAAAGAGAAAATTCTCCCTCAAGACTGTCAAAGTCTCCTGAGTCTACATGCCAGCCTGCCTTATAAATTTCAAACTTGTCAGGCACCACAATCGTATTAGCCAACCCTTAAAGTAAATCTCCTGGTAAGTGACAGATAATGTGTGGTATACGACTGCCCATGCTTCTCTGGAGAACCTTGACTAATACATAGACAATACATAAACTAATGGGCATGACTGTTCCATTAAAAGTATTTACAGTAACAGCTGGTGGGTGAGATTTAGCCCAAGTTCTCCAAACCCTAGTTGTATCGTTAATAAGAGATGGATGCTTTCACTAAACACCTTTTAATTTTTTTAAGATTTAAATTTTTAATTAGATGCATATGTGTGTCAGCATGAGGACTTGTGCAAATGAATACAGTGTTCTAGAAGGCTTCCAGGGGATCAGATGCTTTGCAGCTGGAGTTAGAGGCACTTGTGAGACGCTGGATGTGGGTGCTGGGAACTCCAAGTGCTCTTAACCACTGAGCCATCTCTCCAGCCCACACTCTAGGTTTTAAGCAGTGTAAAAGGAAATTGTGCCCCATGAATTGGAAGTCATGCTCGCTAGGACAGAGTCTGGAACAACTGTGAGTGACTGCAGTTTCTAAGAATGAGGCCTATACTGAAGTTGTAGCGTGAGAGCAGTTTCTCAGGGTTGCAGGCTGGCACCATTTTCACATGTTCTTATACTTTTCAATATTACCTTTGGAGAGCAAATTTTTTGCTGCCAAAAAAAGCAGAAGTCAATTAAAGGAATGTTTTTAGATATTCATTTATTAAATTTTGCACTTTTTCAATAAAAATTGTTGAGGAAAATTAAAAATTTATGATATCGTTAAATACAAGGGTTACAATTTTTGGCACAAAAAGAATTCTTTTTACCAAAGATGTACAGCACAGGACTTTCATGTAACATTTATTACAAATAGGGATCCTTAATCTAGAAAATGGGACCTACCTATATGTTTATTTTTATTATTTTTTATTTGAGTCAGAGTCTCATAGCCCAGGCTGGCTTGGAACTCTGTAGTCCAGGCTGGCCTTGAACTTGTGATCCTCCTGCCTCCGCCTCCTGAGTTCGAGTGCTGGGATTACAGGTGTGCGCCACCATGCCAGGCGCTACCTATAAATTTAAATAGTAGATTCTCAAGTTAGTTGGTAACCCCAGATTCCCTTCTCTAGCCTAGGGATTAATAAGATTTTCAGTTTAGAAGAAATTGGTATCCCAAAAAGGTTCTGTAAATACTTGTCTCATCGTGGAGAAATCTGTTTGTCAGAAGGTTAAGATAACCGATAATTGAAAATGATCAATTTGTCAAAAGCTAACATCGCCCCATCTTCCCAACAGTAAAGAATGCACAGAGGAGTTCCTAAGAAGGTTTTATGGTATAATGATGAAAGGAGCAAAACGAGTAACTTGAAATGTGATATCTGAAAGAGAATTCTAAGTAATCCAGCAGATTAAACAATAACAATGTGTAAGCCCAAGAATCAGGGCTGTGACCACGGCCAGATGACAGACAAGTTCATACGGCAGAGGGATGAAGTGACTTAAAGGCCACTAAGACACTGTCTTAGAGAAGTAAAGAAATGGAAACCAATGAAACAGTGTTGGCAAGAGGTCACCAGAGACACGTGAATTCAGAAGGGAGCCACAGTCGTAAGGACAGGTCATCAAAGGGCTAAGTGAGAGAACACTGCAAACCAAAGGGACTCGGGCTAGTGTAGAGGAATTCTGGTTTCAGATGCTTGCTATCAAATCCTTTGCTCTGATTACTGTTTTGAAAATATAGTCACTATTTTACTTACATCCATAACTCCTAGTAAAGCAAAAAATGTCTTTAAGACAACAAAATTTCAATATTTGTTGACAATGATAAAATATTTAAAAATTCATAGCAGAGAGTAAATCAATCTCAATCTCTCTGTCTCTTTTTTTTAGCTATTACCTAGCATTAACTAAAAATTAGACTCTGGAGCCTGTGAGATGGTTCAACAGGTAAAGGAGCTTGCTGCAAAGACTGATGGCCTGAGTTTGATTCCCCAGGACTCATATGGCAGGAGAGAACCCATTCCCACAAGTTGCCCTCTGACCTTCACACATGCTCTAGTGGCAAGCACCCCTCCACTTACACACTTACACACACACAGATAAGTAAATATAACCATTTTTAAACAGTTAACACCTGGAAGCTCTGTGAACTAGGAAGGTGGCACCACACTCATCTCTCATAGTACCCTCACACTGAGAGGAGACGAAACCAGAATCTGCCAAAACCTGCACCGCCCTTGTCAGATTTAGGGGTTCTGTAGAAAAGTTCCCATTACTACATCTGTCTACTCTAGCTCAGGAAAATGGTGCAGTTGATCTTCCTAACACAAAATAAACTGGGAAAAGATGTTCAAGGAATCTACACCAAGTTCCAGAAGGGCCAAGTGGTGGCTTGGACACATGACATAAGTGCTAACAATTATGGAATGCTTGCTATGTTCTAAGAACTGACAGATCACCTCATTTAATCCTTTCACCACCACCATGAAGCATAGGCAGCACCAAATCCACAGGAAGAAGCCTGGGTTAAGGAATTCTTAGCAACGTTAAAGAATTGCTGGACACAAAGGTAATCAGACGAAGTGCTTCGATTTGAACCCATGAATTCTGATTCTTAAGGGTGTTGTACGGCCAAACAGAATAGAACAATTATTTCTCTTAACAGGACAGATTAAATCTCCTCAAAAGTAATCTGTACTTAATTCTAGCCTTTACCAGACATTTTGTCTACTACTCCCTAAAAGGATGACATCTGGGTGTCAACTTTAACAAAAATTTAAAAAACCCCAAACCCTGAAGTTTGCACTAAAGTTTATTACAGTGATGAGTGAGGATAAATGAGACAGAGAAAATTACTGACTGCTACTTCTTTGATCAGATGAAATGACAAACCCATATGTATATGTATGTGTACATATATACACATATATATGGCATTTCACTTAATGGAATTATGTGGACCCAAGTTATCCTTAAAAACAAACAAACAAATACCCCTAAATCAAATAGGTCACTTAAAAACCCAAGTGCCCTCCCTGTGCTTCCAAGTTTCAGTAAGAACTTACCGTTAAACAACTTGTGTTTGGTCCATCATTGAAACTCCACATAATTTGTGGCTTTCCCATACTCTTTTGCATTTCTTAGGACTCATTTACATCTTAGTTTACCACATTAACCGTGGTTTTGAAAGTTTCTTCTCGTATTCACCAGACTACGTCACAGATTCCCTCGCTCTTTCTAAAATAAGTGGATGTCTGCTGCAAAACCTGTAGCTGCGCTGTCAGAGCTTTAAAAGCCCGATTTTTAAGATTCAGAAGTGATCGCCAACATACCCCATTACTACAACTTATTTACTCCAAGGAAACTGCCAGCAGGGTGTACGAAATCAATCAGAAGGCTGTAGGTGGAGGGAGAGCTGTCAAATCCTACAAGGTTGGGCAGGGAGGACACGCCAGGGAGGCTCGAGGGGAGGTGGGAGAAGGCAGCGTTGGACTCCATTCCGTAAACAGTCACTGCGCCACTTGCCAAGCGCAGAGAAAACAAGATCCACCCACGCAACCAGCCGGGCGGGACCCGGAGCGGCGGGCCTTGCAGGGGCCCGCGGCGGGCGCGGGAGCGAGGCGGGCGCCGAGCCCCTAGCACTCCGGGCGGCGACCAGCCCGGCCGGCCTCCCGCGCCGCTCCCGGCGCCCGCACGCCCGCACGTCGCCGACCAGCCGCGGCCGCTTACCGTGGCGCCTGGCAGCTTCCCCCGAGGCGGCCCTCAACGGCTGCCGCAGTCAGAGCACCACCCCGCGGCGGGGCACGTCTAGCCCGCCCGCAGCTCCCGGCTCCCCCGCAGCGCCGCCGCTCTCGCGAGAAGCGGGCCGAGAGCGCGCAGAGGGCGGGGGAGGAGGAAGGGCGGGGCTGCCAACGGCGGCGGCCACTTCTGCGCCGCATCCGGAGGGGCGGCCGCCATTGTGCTTCGTCGCCGACTTCTCTGCTCGTAGCCCGGGAACCGAGCCCAGCGAGGAAGGAGGCGGCGGTGTGGCTGCGGCGAGCGCGACACTCCCTGCGGAGTGCGAGGTGGAAGAGGGTAAAGAGCGGCGGCGGCGGCGGTGGGGGAGGGGAGCGCTGGAGTGCGGGCCTCCTCCCCCAACCTCGGGACCCCGCGGGCAGGGAGGGCAGCTGGTGCGTGTCCCTCGGGGACCCGAGGCGGCCCGTGGAGCCGGGCGGTCGTAGTGCGGGGTCGGCCCACCCGGGATTTCGCTAGGTTTCCCAGCCCCTCGCAGTAGGTGGAGGTAGGCCTCTCCGCGGCCCCGCATCGTGAGTGGCGTGACACTGGTGTATGAGCCAGAAAGGATGGCTCCTCTGATTCAGACCGGGGCGGAGAGGGTGTAAGGGACCGACTCTAGACACGCAGGGTGTGAGGAGTAAAATGCACCCTCACCTTGAAGAAACTGCGTAGTGAAGAACACACACACACACACACACACACACACCACGAAACCACTACAATGAACACCCTCCTTCCTCCCCGCAAAAGTAGGTGGTAGTTAGTATATGGGAGTGGGAATCCGTGTGGGTCATAAACACGTCGTCACGACCAGTGTGGAAACAATTTAAAGAGCGGGCCTCGGGTCACACGCCATTCTATAGTTTTTGTTTTTTTTTTTTAAGTCCTCATTTCTTACTCTCTTCTATACCCCCCTTTTGTAGCCAGAACGAAGGGGTGAGTATCGAGATACCGTCCTGATTTACAAATTAAACAAGAGTTCCTTTACTAGAGAGGTAGATAGATTCCATGTATTTTTCACAAGATAACCAGAAATGGGGTCAGTATTTTCTTTGAGGAGCTCCAGTGTGTGTGAGGCAGGAGCAATGGAATCCCAAACTCTGGGCATCGCTATGGCTGTGGTTCTTTAACCTCTTCAGATTTCCAAGTTGAGATGAGTTCCCCCAACTCCTGGGATGCGGTTTTTTTTTTTTTTTTTTTTTTTTAATGAGTTAGTGTGTGAAGCAGTCAGCAGCTACACTACAGGGCACAATACTTGTACTGTGGGTTTTTAATGACTACAAACAAAAGGAATTTACCACCCGTTTATAACCAAGCATTCTGGACAGAAAAAAAAAAAGAACAAACCTTAAAACTTGGACTTTGTGAGTTGTGTCCCCATAGCTTCATGTATAGATGGGTTGATTAGAGGTCTCTGCCCTTGTATTTCATGCTGGCACTGAACTCACGATGTTACCCAGACTGACCTCTAACTTAAGATACTCTTCTTGCCTAAGCCTCCTGAGCTCTGGGATTGCTGGAGTGTGCCTCCAGATCCAACACCACCACACAGCTCTAGTTTTGCCCTAAATGTTTGGTACACCGTCTCCCTCCCTTTCCCCATGCCCATAGATTTTTTTTTCATCATTCTTTGACAGTTTCACATATGTATATAATGGAATCTAGGGCCCCCCCATTACCTTATTTTCAGTTACATGATGGGTCGGATGTCTTATGCAATGTAGGGTCAATGTAGGGTCTTGGGGCATGCTAATTATTTGCGCTCTCAGCTATATTTAAGACACCTCAACCCAGGTCAGGTGTCTTGAATAAGGAGGATTGTTTTCGTACTTCACAGATTTTTCTCTGTGTTCTACATGAAGGTTTTGGGTAATCAACTTGGACATAAATCATCTGTAGCGTTTATGCAGACAAATGTTATTAGTTCCATATCCATCTCACACACCTGTCATCTGTTATATCCACATTTTAATATGTTTTAGGAAAATAATCGTACAGTGGAAAATTTATCAAGTAATAGAAAGCATTGTTTGGTTACCAGGTTAGAGCTTCCCTTTGCAGGAATGAGCTTGACGCAACATCTTCCTACAACTCACAGTTTAGTCATCAGACCAACGAGTAAACAAGCGCAGTGACTGCCTTACTGTAAATACTGGACGGTCGCGCTGTGGGGTGTGAAGTAGGCTTAGGCTTGGAAAACTGTGACTGCAGTGATGATGTGCTTCCCGTGGTGGAAAGTTGGTGAAGGAAGGCTAGAGCTTAGCAGGAAGACTGAGGAATAAGAGTTGTACCCAAGTACAATTATCTTTAGATTATCTTTGTTGACACAGTCTTCTGTGACGGTAAAAAACCTGAGAATACCTAAGTAGAATGTATAAACGTATCAAGCCACACCTTTAAGCAACAAATTAAGTCTTGAGCTAGTAAACTCTAGATCAACAATGGGCCAAATTGGATCACAACTTAAAAATGAATGAGTTCCTACTGAAGTTGTTAGATCACTAAAGGAGAACTCTGAGGTAATTCATTTATCTTTTTTTTTTTTAATGTTTTTGCAAAGTTATATCATTAGTAAAGTTGCTGGGAGTGAATCTAAAAGAACTGAGTAGAAATGGTAAAATTGCTTCATAATTTGACAGTTGACTGAGATTTGATATTTGTAATTTTTCCTTTTCTACACTAACATGAACTTAATGTGGCCAAAGCTGGTTTTACCTGTTCTCAAGTATATTTCCTCTGACTACTGGTTAGACTAGATAAGTTTGAACAGCAGGTTTTAAAATCACCTACTCCCCTGCACCCATTTTTGCCAACAGCTATAAAGAGGCTAGGCTTGTAAAAGCTAGTAATCTTGTATTTCTGACTTTGCATGAAGAAATCTAAATTGGTTTTCAGTTGCTGAATGAAGATTGAATTGAATCACCTAAACAGTAAATTCATTTCAACAGGAATAGGTTATCTTTAAGTGCTGTAGAACTGATAGACAAGCTTATTTATATTTTCCAATGAAGATGCTAAGTTTTCACCTTTCAAAAATAGTTTTAAAATACCTTAAAATACTAATTTACAGTATTAGGAATACTGTAAGTATGTGGTAGCTAAGTATCAGAGTTTTTAAAAGGCCCAGAAGTTTAGTGTCTGAAAGAGTGCCCTGGCCGAGTGGTGGTGGTGCACACCTTTAACCCCAGCACTTGGGAGGCAGAGACAGGCGGATTTCTGAGTTCGAGGACAGCCTGGTCTACAGAGTGAGTTCCAGGACAGCCAGGGCTACACAGAGAAACCCTGTCTCGAAAAACAAAAAAAACAAAAAAAAAAACAAAAAAAACAAAAAAAAAAAAAAAGAAGAGCACCCCTCATTTGGCCTCATTTAGCTTTTCCTGCCTCCGGGGTGTAGGTTGATATTTGGATCTTGATACTCCGTGTGATCTATTATGGTATGATGTTTCAGAGTAGCATTTGAGGAGTGAAAGTGGAAGCTGCAAGACCTCTTTGGACTCTTTCAAATCAGACAGTATCATTTGCAATACACATTTACATTTAAGGGGTAGAAAACTAAAAGTTGGTGGTGTCCTATCTAGACCATCATCATGGCTTTGCGAGATACATTCATACTAAGGTGCGGGAGAAAGTAGTAGCTGTTTTCTTATTACTTACACAGATTTAGAGCATTATAAGAATGTACATTCTTTAAAATGCCATGATTATTGCAGTTGCTTTAAAATAATATAAGAAATGGTAAGTATACAATTCTGATTGAGTAATGATAATTTGTTTAACATTGTTGATTGGTATGTGGAAGTTAATTTTTCCTGTTTTTTTGTATGTATAAGAATTTAATAGGAAATTTAAGCCCTGCACATCAGGTGATCTACACTCTTATTTTGTGACTATGACCTCAACTTAGTCTTTATAAGCACAGCACTTTTTGGTATTCACTTTGTAGATGTTAAGATTATAAACAGCTATTTACATTTTGTGTATATGTTGTATATGGGTATGTGTGTGGATTCTCAAGCCCATCTGTGTGTGGGAGCCAGAGGTCAATGTCTGGTTCTACCATCCTCCACCTTGTTTTTAGAGATAAAGTCTTTACAGTCTCTAAATGAACCCGGAACTCACTGGTCATGGGATAGGTTGGAGAGCTAGCCTTTGGCATCTTCCCGTCTTGGTTTCACAGCACAGATGTTCATTACCATAACTTGATTTTTTATGTGGGTGCTACAGATCCAATCTTAGGTCTTCTTTCTTGAGCAGAAAATGTTTTACATGTTGAACAATTCTCCTTCCTCCCCCTCCCCAAACTTATTTTTTGACACAGGGTCTCTAGCCCAAGCTGGTCTTACATATGTGAGAATGACCTTGACTTTTTAATACACGTGCCTCTACTTGGTGCTGAGATTATAGCCCTAGCTTTACTCCCTTTTTAAAGATTTATTCATTTATTTTATGTGTATGGCTCTATACATGTGCACCGTGTGTGTAGGAGTCCAATGAGGTCAAAAGGGTGCAGCCCATCACCTGAACCTGGAGTAAGTACAGGTGACTGAGCTGCCATGTAGGTGCTGTGAACCAAACCTAGTCTTCCGCTAAGAGCAGTAACAGCTGTAACTGTGGAGATATTATGGTAACTACATTTTTAGACCTTTCTTTGCAGTGAGTGGATTGTGTGTAGCCCTGAGTGATTCTTAAAATCTTTTAGTATATGATAAAGGCAAATTTCAAATAATAAGAAAGCTGGGCTGGAGAGATGGCTCAGCCGTTAACACTGGCTGCTTTTCCAGAGGTCCTAAGTTCAATGCCCAGCAACCACCTGGTGGCTCACAACCACTGTAAGGGGATCTGATGCCCTCTGGTGTGTCTGAAGACAGTGACAATGTACTCATATACACAAAGTTAAAAAAAAAAAAGCCAATATACTTTTTGAGCTACTTATATTCCTAACTGTTAGTATTATTTCATAAAATCTAGTATTTGTTGAATATGTGCTGTGTCAGCTAATCTCAGAATACACTTTTGAAAGTAGTATCAACATTTTCGTAGGTAAAAAATTTAAGCATTAGAGAGATTAAATACAGAATCATACCACACAGATTTCAAAGCATCTTACATTGTACTATTTTTCTACAAATTATTTGAATTTGGTATGTGCTGAAAATTAGGTAGTGATCAGCTTATTTCCTACAAAACTTCAGTATCTTGGTTTGGAAAGAAAGTGGTAAATGAACTTTACTAATAAATGTGTTGTTTATATTAATAAGTGCATAAAAAGACTTAGGGGTAGGAGACAGCATCAGCTGATG